GTAATGTTATTTCCTTCTCTAGGAGGGTGAACACAATCCACTACAATTATAGCGTCGCTGGTGAGAGGTTGCAACGTGTCTCATTTATTAGAGATTTGGGTGTTACATTTGATTATAAATTATTATTTGATAAACATATCGATACTGTTGTCTCCAAAGCCTGGCGTATGTTAGGATTTATTATGAGATCAACGGTAGCTTTTTCAAACATTGCTGCAATTAGAAATCTCTATTTTGCCTATGTTTACAGCACACTTAACTTCTGCAGCGTTGTTTGGAATCCTCAGTATCTCTCGTATAAATCTAGAATTGAGCGTATTCAATCTAAATTCCTCAAATACCTTTGTTTTAAATTTTCCATTCAATACATTGATTACGAATCAACTTGCACTTCTTTTCGTATGTTAACCCTCAACCAGCGTCGCTTTTGTGGGGATATATTATATTTTTACAAACTTTTGAACAACAAGTGTGATTCTCCAATGCTTGTTGGTTCTATATGTGTTCACGTTCCTCCGAGATTACTTCGCTTTGATTTTCTATTTATGACACCTACTCCTAGAACCAATGCCTGTCAAAACTCTCCTTTATTGAGAATGGCAAGATCGGCAAATCGTGTTAACATGGATCTGTTTCAGCATTCTTTCTATGCATTTAAAAAACTGGTGAAAAGGTGTTTCTTATTTAGTTTTTTTTTCCTTTTGAATCCCTTTTGTACCATTAATGTTAATTCATTATTATTATTATTGTGAACTGTAATTCTATTTTATTTGTATACAATTGGTTGTTTGTGGTACAGTATTATTGGGTTCGACCTGTTTCTGTACCCACATAAAATAAATAAATAAATAAATAAATATTAAGGGACATAACAGATAATTATTAGCTCACATGCATCAAGTGACGTAAACAAGTGAGTCTTTGACAAGAACTCATTGAGAAGGCTTGTTTTTCATGGCACACTAGGCTAAATATCCATATGATGTGTGCATTTTTCAAAAAACCCTAATTATCTCTCAAACTATTAATATTAGGTATGGGACATATGGGATATAAAAGATGTAGAATGAGACACCGAAGACGACTAAGAAATGTTGCTTAAGCATGTTCTCAATCCTAAATTGATATCCCAAAAATCGAGTGTTCTCTGATTTTTTGAACAAATGTCTGCTGGAGCAGATTTTTCTAGTAAAATTCGAATAACTCGAGAACGGTCGAATCAAATTGCAAAAAGGAAAGTTATTTATAAACTTTCAAAACAGACAAATTCAAATATGTAAAAATATACAGGGTGTTCCGTTTAAAAAAATAAAGTTGGTGGCGACTTCCGGTATAATCGGAAGTGCAAGAAATCTGAATATATTTTAGACGAAGAGATCGTAATTGATAATACTTAAGTCTGAAATCTCAAATTTTTATTTTCGCCAGAACCCCAGAAACGTCTAATGACCGGTCTCGTTGAGACACCTGTATACCTACTTACTTTGTCCCACATAAAATGCAAGATGTCTGATGCCCGGTTGCACCGTTTACATAGTTGAGCATAACTTAGTTAAGCAGTTCTTATAGTTAAGAAGAACTTAAATTTTATGTCTATTTCACCGACACAACATATACAATGCTCAACTAAGTAACGTTTAAGTATCGGTTATTTGGCAACAACGCCATAAAATTTTGTTATTTTTATAAATTTTAGTAATTTTTTAGGGTTTTTCGTGTTGTCAAGTTAATGTCAGTTGACATTTGACATATACCATGTAAATAACATTTCTACTATTCGTATCATTCCCATCTTCGCGCATATTCGAAGAGTGTGTATACTACTTACTTATTAGACGGAAATTCTATAATTTCTTGTATTTGTCGTAGAACATACAAACAACTTTGTTTTATTAGACGAAATCTTTTAAAAAAATTATATTCGTCCATTTCGTGGAAATAATTGGATCTTGTGTATATTAATTTTGGAAAACCAAAATCAATTATTTCCAAAACATCTAAATCGTCGTCGAAAATTTGCAGATCCATTATTTTATTTTATTACTTTTTTAACGTATAGGTTATGTGCGGTTATGTCTATTTGACGTATGCGCTTGAGAACAACTTAAGCACTGGATTTCAAATACTTATATTTGAGAACGTCTTATTGATTTTGAGAACGGGTTACTTGACGGTGCAACGCAAATTCAC